TGTGTGTGTGTGCTTACAGCCATTAATTTGATGTGCTGCTGGACAGAGAGTTTTACACAATAGTTTTAGTTCTGGTCAAAAAGTGTCAGTGAGCTGCATGTAAATAACACATTTAAACACAAAGTTTAAGACTGAACATACGAAATCCAACGTGAACATCTCAAAGAGAGTATTAATGACATAGACAAATGTGTCACTCTGAAGAGTTTGTGTGTGTTCAGCAAAAGGCTGCAAAAGTTCATGCATTGACTTCAGCTTCTGCCACTCACTCAAGAGCTAGCAGACCATACCATCTTGTCTGCTACTACAAAAACAGATTCTTTAACTTTGAGGAAACGTACAACCATTTCATAGGTACTTGACAGTGTGTGGGGCTGTCATTCACAACAGTTAGGCCGCACTCATCCACTGTCAGTGAGCCATGTCTGTAGGCACTTCTTCAGCGCGGCCTGGTGCTTCATTCAGCTCCTCGTGGTTCATCATTTTTTCTTAGAGCTCGGCTTTTCACCATTCGGACAGATCTGAGCTTTTAAAGAGTTAAACACAATAGGATTACACTCAGAAGGGAGGGGCTGTGGGAACCGATGGGCTATCACAAAAAAGAAACCACACACCATTACACACATTAGCCTATGACGTGGGATATCATGGACGCTCAACAATACGCCATTGATGATGCGGCGTGGGGGGGTCTAGACCATCTGGACACGTTCAACAATACGCCATTGATGATGCGGCGTGGGGGGTCTAGCCCATCTGGACAATTAACAATACACATGTCCATTTGATTAATGATACGGAAGGGGGGGCAAAGATTGAACAATACACCTGTCCATTTGATTAATGATAGGAAGGGGGGGCAAGGTCAAGGGTCAAATGAACAATAGGAATGAAAGGTCAGAGAACAATAGACCTGTCAAAATGTTTGACGAAAGGTGTCTTATAATCCTCTCTATAGTATTAAGTTGATTTGTATTAACTATATTTTTGCTTCTGTGTCAAATTATCGATAAGAGTTTGTTCGCTGGCTACCCAAAGTACCTATTTCTAGAGTTGACTGTTTATCAATTGTGACCACTTACAAAATGTTACATGAGTTAGGTCTTGAGTTGAATGCGCTGTTGAACGGGAAGCCAATGAAGGTTTTTTAAAACTGGAGTTATGTGTTCCCTACTACTGGTGTGTGAGAGAAGCCTGGCAGCAGAGTTTTGAACATACTGAAGTTTCTTTAGGTGTGTAAGAGGGAGACCATATAGTAGGCTATTACAATTATCAATTCTGGAAGAAATGAAGTCATGGATAAGTTTCTGCAGCCTTAAAGGATAGAAAGAGGCAGAGATGAGCAATATTTCATTGGTGAAAGAAGGCTATTTAAGTGATATTGTGGATGTGTGGTTAGATGGAAAGGCTAGGGTCAAAGATGACACCAAGGTTTATGATTTTAGGGGATGGAGTGATCCTAATTTATTGCAGTTCAGTTTGAGGAAATTTGTAGACATTTAACACTTTATATCCTCAAGACAGTCTGTTATAGTATAAACTGTGTTGGGAGTAATGGTAGTTGTAGATGGGAAGAGTTGAATGTGGTCATCATAACAGTGAAACCGAAGTCCATAGTAACAAATGACACACCCAATGCATAACATATAGATGATAAACAGGTGAGAACAAAGAATCCCACCCTGTGGAACACCATGAGTAACTGGGGTGACCTTAGAATTGCAGTTGTTTATGGAAAATATACTGAATTCTAATAGGGAGGTGTGATGTAAGCCAGTTAAGGTCTGAACCAGTAATGCCAAGTCCATTGAGAAACTGTTACTTGTTATTTTTGATATATAATCCGTCTGAGTTTAACATGTAGGCTGAACATGAAAATAGTCTTCGACCCTTATTTCCTGCATTAGCTGAAAGAAAATAGATGAGGAAACTCTCGGATTAGAAAAGCCTGTGACATTAGCATGTCACATTGTAAACGATCTCTCACCCATATTAGGTCATGACAAGGAAGGCTGATTTTGCATCCAGGAGAAATCAGAGCACATCTCGGCTAGTAGAAGCTGACCGTTAGCATTAGCAACTCCACCACACAGCAGAACTCCTTCAGGCTTGTGTTATTTGTGGAGATAAAACATCAAAGTTGCAAAGCAAACAGAGTCAGTGGTAGAGTCACATTGCTGTTAGCCAATCAGGGCAAGATTTCCGAATATCAGGAAATGAGACTCCAAAACTTGTTATTTTTTGCTCGCCTCTTCTCTGGATAACTTTTACATCCTGAAACAGAAGCATGAAAGCTTTTTTCCACAGACACTCATAAAGCGTTAATTTATACTTCAGACCACTGCAAAAAACAAACAAACAAAAAAAAAACATGGGGAGAAAGTGCTGATGAAGTTTTTTTTTCTGAGTTATTTGGAATTTGGAGTCGCTCTCCCACTCTGAAATTGTACAAAACTAAAATAAAACACATGGAATGGTTATTTTTGGCATGATAATGTGCTTTAAGCTATCTTTACTTTACAGCAGTCAAAAACATGTGCTGTGCTAGTGGCCAGTGGTAGGTGCCTACTTTATGACCCACCCAGACCTTCTCATAATATCATTTAAACCTTTTTAGTGACAAGTGAGAGTTAAAATACATGAGTGGCTCTGCATCGGTCATCGACTATTAAATCAAATGAAATGGTAAAAATGGTTTCCCACAGCAGACGAAGGGAGCTGTGTGTGTGCTGAGTGACAGCAGAGCAGCACTGTGGGAGATCCAGCTGACCGGCATGTTTACTCTCAGGACACTTTTAGCAGGAGATGTGAAGGGCTCGACTGCAGCTCAGACAGGATTTATCACCCTCCCTGTCCTCAGTTATTAAGTACAGTCTTTCAGAGCGCCCACAGAGTCATAAATGTCGTGAAACTTCTCACACACACACTGCCTTGAGACTTCTTTTTCAAATGGAAAACAGGGAACAGACCTTCATCAGTGTCTTCTTCATCATCTTCAAACACAATAGTATAAAATAAAATAATCTGCCCAGTGAGGCATCAGTAGACGATACTGAATGACTCAGGTAAAGTAACACAATGTAAACAGAAACAACCTCCTCTCAGACGTTAACATCTATCAGTGGTCTCACCACAGCTGGCACCTGACCACATCTGTAACAAACATGGCGGTTTGGTTCTCATTACTGTGGCTGTGGCTTTACTTCCAGCGCTTTAAATAAACAGCGAGCCTTTGTAACCACAACAGAACTCCTCCGACATCATCTACTTTTCTCTAACACACGGCACTCAAGCGCCGGGTCACTCCAGCCTGACGGATGGACAGCTCGGCCCGGCGTGCTCTGTTTCTCCTCTCGTCTCTGATGGATGCTTCGGGTCTGGTTTCTCACTGAGACACAACATGGCCAAACAAACAGATTGTAGTGAAATCAGCCCCGACTCAAGAGTGTATATAATAGAACACACTGTGATGGCATTGGACAGCGCTACTCACGTATACACACACGACTGGACTCCACTTATCATGCCAGGCAGAAGGCAGGAGAGAGGTAATTCTTGGCTCGGCCAGTCTGGAAAATCATCACGAGCCTTTGAGTAGTAACCGAGTTGTCTTTGCTCACATGATCTCACTGAAATACGAGCACAGCCCGCTGGATTCCCATCTGGCTGTGACAGCTAATTGTTGAACTTTAGTGATTGGTGTAATTACTCATGACAGGACACCAAAGGGGCAGACACCAAGGGGAGGGATGCTCCTAATTCTAACCTGGTCCAACTGGGTTCACCTTCAGTTCCCTCTCAATGTTCTCCAATTTCCAGGACTAAAAAATTGATCAAATTGCTTTGTGGATCATTAAACTGGTGGCTAGGTGAAAGTGAAAAACTCCCTCTTTCATTGTTTTGGTGTCACGGCCTGAAATGCTGCTCTCGTTGTCCCCGTTTACGGTGGTAGCAGGCAGCTGAAAGCATTAATGTCTCTAAAACCACGCTGACCGCTGCAACTCATCCAATTATTGTGGAAACATTTCACCCTAAAACCACAAATGTGAAACTTGGGGTTAGGCTGGATAAATTGTCAAGGGCATCGCTAACGTCGGTGTAAGTCATCATCTGGAAACAATGAGCGTCTGTACAAATTTTGATGGCAATCCATTATTTAGATTTTTCCATCTGGATCACATTGGAGGGCTATTGTACTGACAGGGCTGCTAAGATTGGGTAAAAATGCTCTAATAAGGCCAAATCAGAGCTAAAACACAAGTTAATATGGCATTTGTGGTCACTGAGTGGTCAGAACATGACTCGGCTAACTAATACCGTTACTCTTTTTCTACTGGATGTGTAAAATGAAAATCCCAGCATTATGAGCATTAGATGTTGGTATTGAAACTAGTTTCTTGCTGGGCTCTTGACTCTTGGAGACAAATTCTAAACAACATTCATGAGCGAGTTCCTGAAATGCCATGAACCACTTGCAAAGATCCTCAAATTCTTGGCGTAAGTAGCAGGTCTTCATTGACCCGCAGTTGGAATTAGTCCAAACATTCACCAGAAAGTTGAGGCAGAAATCTGGGACAGAAAGGTGAGACAACCTTAGGAGGATTTGATGCCTTTTGAAGCTAAATTGTGACTGATTGGAGAAAAGAAAACAGAAAATTGGATATTCTGGCCTCATGACAGGTGCAACAGAACTGGAACTGAACTGGGGGGCAATTGCAAACAAATTGGGATGTAATTAAGACACTTTTGTGACTCAAATTATTTTTGACATTTGCAATCACTTTGTATAGATATCCGAACAGTTTGTGCCAAAGTGCCATGAGCACCAAATGCACTGCTTTTTCAAACAGAACATGAGCACAGACGAGTAACCAGCAGTTTGAGCCTAGTAAACTAGCATAGTACATAAATACGATTAAGTTCTGAAACGCTGATGCATGCTTTCCATGTATATTTCAAAATTATTGGCTATCTAATGTCGCTTTTGACTTGTTTTGCAGATTTCAGAACTTATAGAAGAGCTCACAGATCTGGAGAAGCGTAATGAGGAGCTGGAGGAAGAAGCTGAGATCAAAACGACTGCATACATGGATGAAGTTGCTGAATTAGAGGTACGGGAGGAGTGATTTAATGTAATCAGCTTGTAATGGACCACTGGTCTGAGCAAATCTTAGTCATTTAATCCCCTCTGTACACCCCACCCTGTGTGTGTGTGTGTGTGTGTGTGTGTACATGTTATTTTCAGTGTTCTATGGAAGAATTAAGGCAGCAGGAGGCTGATCTCAAATCACAGATGAAGGAGCAATGTGAAGAGTACAAGGAGCTGCTGAAAGAGAAGATGGCGAGACACATGGAGATCGCTGCCTACAGGTCATGAATCTAAAAGAATGTTCTAGCTTTTGCAGATTGAGGACTGACATTTTAAATTCTCAGATCCTAAAAGTAGCAAAAAGACACGCTGAATGACATCAATAACCACGAGAGGATCTGAATGAGGCCCTCTTTATGTTCTTTGGAATAATAATGACACTTTTGAGCTCTCACATGCCGCGACATGACCGGCAGGGTTTACAGCAAAGACCTCATGAAAGTCTGGTTCAGTTGTTAGTATGACTGTCAGTCTAGAGGACGCCACTATTTCCAACAAAAACACAGCACCGGCTGATTTCACTGATAATTTTGTCATCCCTTGTTAAACGTGCTCATTAATTCAGCTGCTTTACCATCTGATTGCAATCATAGTGCGCAGACTCTATTGTGAATAAGGTGTGTGTCTGGGGGGTGTCAAATGGAAATAACCGTCCCTCATAATATTTTTTAAAAATTGTCAAGAGGATCTGGCTCCATGGTTTTTAATTAACTGGGCAAACCTGCGGTGGCCCTGAGTTGTTTTCATTAGATCATCATCTCGATCAACAGTTTACATTTCTCTTACATTAACAAATAATGGTTAATAAAAGAATAGAGAATGACCGTTTAGATTTCAGGATTACTTCATAGTCCAGATTCGTGTAGTTTACGTCATCGTGACTTTCACAGCTCCTTTTCTAAAAGGTTGCTGCAGACATCCCGTGTCTGCGGGGGTCACAGGAAACAGCTCCTGGATGTGATGCACTTTCCTGCAAGGTTTCTTGTCATTTTTCAGTTCATGAGATTGCTCAAACATCTGCCACCCTGATATGTGAAGTGACGCACTTCTGCCATCCCATCTCGATGCTGCAGACTTCCTGTTACCGCCTCAGCTTGCCTATCCCACCATGTCTGACCCAGAAGGGGGCCCCGCTGCTAGTCTGAGCTCAGACACTCAAAATACCTCGTAAGAATGAGGACCTTTTACTGTCAGAGCTGTGAGGTGGACTGCTGCCAGCTACTCTTCAAGCCAGACTGTTAATGTCAGCCCACCCACTTCCACCCTCCTTTACACACATTTACTAATTCGCCACAGTTTTAGTTCCCTCTCATTATCAAACTCAGACTGTCACAAACACATTTCAGCGCAGGAGAGACACACAAGCCATGCCAAGTGTTCTCCTTTTGTGTATTTACTGGATGTTTTTTCATCCGTGATTAGGACCATGAATAAGAAATGAAAACGGCAGTTGTTTATTCTCCGCATACAGAAGCAAACTGTCTACATTACAGACTTTATTGACCCCAGACCGCCATTACTGGATAGCTTATTGCCTCTGAAGGGATCTCAGAGCAGCTTGGGCAGATGTCTGCTGCTTTTGCTTACTGCAAGTGTGAGCTATATCACAGGGTAGCTTGTTTCTCTTCTTTGACTTAACGGTTTAAGAGGGAAAAAAAAATCATCTGCTTCATACAGTGTGCTAGAGGCAGGAAAACTCAACCTCAAAGGAACACCAACAAATGAAGAAGTCCTACTGCACTATAAAAGTACAATGTTATTGTTTATCTTACAAGAGCTAAGCTAAAACTAAAACATCTCTTTAGACAACAGCTTACAGATTCACCTGTTAAAAGCAAAAAGTTAAAGCAATGATGTTAAACGTATCAGTGTCTCAGGTTGTCAGAGGATGTTGGTCTTTTCTATGCTGCTTCAGGTTTATTGAAGTTTACAGAGATTTGTTTTTTACAGTTCTAAAGTCCCACCTCAACGTTTATATTAGGTTGAGATATGGCTGCAAATCTCTGTTTCAGTTGTTCTGTTGAAGACATGTTGCTGTTGTTTGGATCATAGTCCCACATTTAAGAGTCAGTTTGCACCAATGATTGCAAGGTGCCCCGGTACTGTGGTTTCTAAATGCCCAAATCATAAGTCCTCCACCTCTATGCTTGACAGGTGGTTTCAGGTGTCTGTGTCTATATTATTTTTGTTTTTTTGCCAAAACTCTCCACTTTGGTCTCATCCTTTCCAGGGACTTTACAACTGAAGTTTTGTGGTTTGTTCAAATGCTGTCAATTTTAATGTATACAGCAACCTTCATTTAGGCGATTAAATGCCCAGTTTATCTAATCTGAGGCACTACTTGCCAATTCTGATCAAACAAATAACAAGGAAATTCAATTCAATTCAATTCAATTCAAGAATACTTTATTAATCCCAGAGGAAAATTGATTGCTGTAGTAGCTCATAATAATAATAATAATAATAATCAAGTCATCAAAGTTGTATATTACAATGGCTGTTGGCAGGAAGGATCTCCAGTAGCGGTCAGTGTTGCAGCGAAACTGAAGAAGCCTCTGACTGAAGACACTCTTCCGTTGTCGGACAGTCTTGTGAAGAGAATGCTCAGGGTTGTCCATCATTTTCTTGATTCTCTTCTTTGCATTATCTCCTCCAGTGGTTCCACAGTCGTCCCCAGAACAGAACCAACCTTTTTTATTAGGCTGTTGAGCCTTTTCAGGTCCCTGCTTCTGATGCTACTACCCCAACAGACGATACCTAAAGAGATTACACTCTCAACAACAGACTTGTAGAAGATCTGCAGCATCTTGCTACAGACATTGAAGGACCTAAGCGTCCTTAAGAAGTGCAGTCTGCTGTGCCCCTTCTTGTAAACAGCTTCGCTGTTCTTTCTCCAGTCTAGTCTGTTGTCCAGGTGAACACCAAGGTATTTGTATTCCTCAACCACCTCCACTTCTTCTCCCATGATGGAAACAGTGTTTGACTCCACCCTGTTTCTTCTGAAGTCTAAAATCATCTCCTTTGTTTTGTTCACGTTCAAGGTCAGATGATTGTTTCCACACCATGCCTCAAAGCGCTCCACCAGCTCTCTGTACTCAGCTTCCTGTCCATCTCTGATACACCCAAAAACTGCAGAGTCATCTGAGTTTTTCTGTAGATGACTGGTGTCTGATTTGTACTGGAAGTCTGAGGTGTACAGGGTGAAAAGGAATGGTGATAGTACAGTCCCCTGTGGTGCTCCAATGTTACTTATCGCCTGGTTTGATGTGCAGTTCTTCAGCCTCACAAACTGTGGTCCCTTTGTCAGGTAGTCTTTAATCCAGGTGATAATTGAGGCCCCCACCTGTGTCTTCTGGGGGTTTCTGGCAAAGTACATCAGGCTGGATTGTGTTAAATAAACTCACAGTTTGACCCTCACAGTGCTGCCTGCTTTGTCCAGATGACAGTGGATTGGTTGAAGCAGCTGGATGGTGGCATCTTCAACTCCAACTCCATGGCGATAAGTAAACTGCAGCGAGTCCTGATATGTCCTAGTTTGCTTATTCAGGTGGACCAACAGGAGTCTCTCCAGGACCTTCATGATGTGGGATGTCAGGGCAACCGGTCTGTAGTTTTATTTGGAACTGGAACAAGGCAGGATGTCTTCCACAGGACTGGAACCTTCTCCTGGGCCAGGCTGAGGTTGAAGAGAAGCTGCAGAATCCCACAGAGCTGCTCTGCACAGGCCTTCAGTACCCTGGGGCTGACACCATCTGGACCTGCAGCCTTGTTCCTGTTAAGTCTCTCCAGCTGCCTCTTAACCTGACTTCTATAGACAGATAGGTGGGAGGGGGAGGTAAATGGGACAGCAGCATCTCCTGACTTGGTTGAAAACAGATTAATAGAACCAGAAGAGTCCATGACACCGTTAGAGGACGAAAGAGCTGGCGTGTGAGAGGAAAATGTAGGATCAGTGGACGATGGGATGTCTGATTGGCTGGGAATAGGCGAGGAGGATGCTGGGTTTGTTCCTGAACTGAACCTGTTGAAGAACTTGTTCAGCTCATTGGCTGTGTCCAGGCTGCCATCTGTGCAATTGTTCCTCTGCTTGAAGCCTGTGATCTTCTTCATCCCTGACCAAACATCTCTGATATTGTTCCTCTGTAGTTTGTTCTCCAGCTTCTTCCTGTATGCCTCCTTGCTGTCTCTGATCTTGATCTTCAGTTGCTTCTGTATACTCCTCAATAATTCCCTGTCTCCCTCCTTGAAGGCTCTTTTTTTTCTCATTTAGCAGATTCTTCAGTTCACTGGTGATCCAGGGTTTGTTATTAGCGAAGCATCTCTGTTCTGGTGGATATGATATTGTCCACACAGAAGTTTATATAGTCAGTGACACATCAAGTCATGGCATCGATGTCTTCTTCATATCGTTGGCAGAGAGTCATCCAACCTCTGGTCTCAAAACAACTCTGCAGGGCTTCTTCAGCATCCTGTGACCATTTTCTCACAGTTCTTCTTGTCACAGGTTGCCTCTGAACAAGTGGTTTGTATTCTGAGCAGAGAAAAACAAGATTGTGAGCTGATTGTCCCAGAGAAGGTCTTGTTTTGGACATGTATGCATTCTTTACATTTGCATAACACAAATCCAATGTCTTGTTTTCTCTGGTGGAGCAGCTGACAAACTGTTGAAATGTTGGAAGTGTAGCAGAGAGCGAGGCATGATTAAAATCACCAGATGTAGCCACAAATGTATTGGGGTGCTGGGTTTGTAGCTTAGCGACAACGGAACTGATGGCATCACATGCATTTTCAGCAATGGCTGAAGGTGGAATATAAATGGTTGCCAAGACAACACTGGTGAACTCTCTTGGCAAATAATATGGGCGACAACTTACTGCCAAGAGTTCAACATCTGGGCTGCAGAGACGACATTTCACTGAAACATGACCTGGATGGCACCATCTGTTGTTGACAAGCACTGCCACTCCACCTCCTTTTCTTTTCCTGCTCCTCTTCAGATATCTGTCTGCTCGTACAGTCAGGAATCCTGGCAGGAATCGGGGATATGGTCATGCAGCCACATCTCAGTGAAACACATAACACTGCACTGCCGAAACTCTGGCGGAGTCCTTGAAAGGGCTTGGAGTTCCTCCATCTTGTTGGCCAGTAATCTCACATTGCCCATTATGATCGATGGAAGAGATGGTTTGAATTTCCTCTTTCTCTGTCTCTGTTTTGCTCCCGCTCTGCTCTCACACTTCTTGCGTTTTAGCTCATTTGGGATTTGTGGCTTCAGTTGAGGTATTATTTCAGCCTTTTCAATGTTAATCATTTGCTCCCGATTGTAAACCAGCTTGTTGCCATGGTTACACATCATGACAAATGCTCAAAAGTGAAAAATAGCAGTAAAAGTCCTCCAAGCTTGACAACACCTGAAACAGAAAAGTACAATGTCCAAAAACATACAGTTTTTCTTGAGAAACTAGAAGAAAAATTGTCCAAGAAAAGACAAAACTTGCCTATAGTCAACAGAGGTACTCCAACATGCACCCACCCAGAGCAGCGCAGTTCCGGAATGAATGGCATTCCGCGACTGCGCTGGCATTCCGAAATGGCAACATCTTTAATTCTGTCGTTTTCTTTTATATTCCAGCAATTTTCATTAGAAGTTGTTCTGTCTCATTTTTTCCCCAAATTTTTATAGTTTAACCTTCTATTTAACTTCTATTTAGTTTAAGCTTGCTATTGCAGCTTTAATATTCACGGACTCACCCATCTTGACTCTGGACGAGAAATGCTGCTGTTGTTTTAGTGTCCAGGAAAGAGTAGAGAATGTCTTGGCTGGTGAAAGCCAACCGTTAGCATTAGCAACGCCACCACACACCAGTGTTTTCCTTACATAGGCGTTGCCGTGTTGGCCCGCCATAGCTGAAATCCCAGTGCCACGCCTACAAGATCCCGAGTGTTATCTTTTTTTGCGCTGTTTCCCGAAGAAGCAGCAGGAATCATTCTGTTGTTGCTTGTGATCACAGCCGGCAGGCAGCAAGGAGAAGGAGGCAGGGCAAGGTAAAGTTGCAGCATACGTTACTGAGTTAAAATTAGAAAGGTAGCAGCGGATATCATGCTTTTTGGTTTACATGTTTCAATAGCGCTAGCATTAAGATAGATGAGTGTTGACGATCTTGGCAGGGTTTCTCCCAGTGGTCATTAGCCTGGCGGCCCACCAGGTTTTCCTCCTCCCGCCAGGCTAAGTATCACTTATTTATGTAAAATTTGATTGTTTTGCATGTCTGACTTTCACCGCATCTGTATTACGGTGTGAGCACAACAGCGACAACATAAGATCGATGTGTGAGCAGCGTGAGAGGTCGGGTGTTTTCAATCGGAACCCTTAAAACCTCCAGCAGGCTACGCAGCATAGCCTACGCTGCACTATTGTGTGCGTGGCGCTAACAACTTAGCGACGTGACATGTCTCGGAGAAAGAGTAAAAACACGTTGGACACTTCTTCTGAAGCGGAAAAATAAAACTTCTTCTTAAGCAGAGCACAACTTCGCCTCGTTCACCCTATGCCGAGCCGGACTGAGCTCAATAACTTTGACCCATTGCTAGTTTGCATAGCCACTGGGCCGTTGAAGCTGCCCCGTGACTGCCTGATGGAAAATCAGTAGGTTTCATCAGACTCGTAAAGCTTCTTGTTTTTGCTGGGGACCCCCTCCCCAGCTCCCTCCTGCAGTCTTCCCCTATTAAAATTTAAAATTATGCTGTAAATTCTGTGTATCAATAGAAAAAATCTCTGCCTCTGCCGCCTGCAGTAAATGTAGCGAAGACCGACTTGTCTTCATCTGACCTGTTCTATTTTTCCCTGAAATGAGATCAAATCAGTGCTTCTATTGGTTGTCTCTTCTCTGCGCTAGAAAAATGTATTTTATTATAATGTTCACTGTAATGCATCTTGATGTTCTAAACAAATAAATTAAATCAATAATGCCAAAAATGTATATTTGTGTTTTAGTCATTTTTACACTGGCTTAAAAATACTTCATTAAGTCTACTAAGCAGGGGTGTAGAAGTTTTTTAATAGGGCCAGCCCAGTAATGATCTTGGACCAAAATAAATGTCTTTAATACTAGCTATTTAAATGCAGTTATTGAAATGCAGCAGTTGCTGGATTGGTGCAGTTCAAAGTGGAGTGTGTCTAATAAAACAATATTAACATAAAAGTGAGACGTGCCATAATTTAATTATTCGAGGTAAACTCATTACATGCACAGCCAGATATCTCAACCTTTAATTATTTTTGTGTTGATCATGTCTTACAGTGTATGAAAACCCCACATTCAAAATCTCAGACAATTAGAGTATTTTGAAAAGGTTAAATATTCTAGACTCACCTGCAAATGATTCCTGAGCCTTTAGATGGTCTCTCAGTCTAAGATGAATTAATGAAAAATTTGATTTTTGCACCATTTTCAAATTTTTCTAGTTTCACCTGTATTTGTAATGTCTACTTTTTGATGTGTTTGTGTGGTTCAGGAGTCTGGTGGAGGAAGAAGAGGACAGGCTGTGCTGCCTGTGATTAAAGACTTCGATTGACTGGATGGAGTTTGACTGGATGCTTCCCTGACACCCGGATTAGAACATAGGCAATAAAGAAACACGAAAAACAGATCCCAAAGCAGCACTTTGATGAAGTTTAAGGTACAAATGCAGCAGTTTGAGTAAATGTTTGCTTATCATGATAGATTAATGCTGTCTAGAGGCCTAAGCCGGACCATTGATAACAGGTCACATGGTGGATGACCTGGAGACTCCCAAGAAGGATGGACCTGTCGAAAACTTATACGGGGGTGTATATCTATTCAGCGTCTGGCAGAGACATTTCTCTAACTGGGTTTTATCTTCACCAGCTTGCTGATTCATTATTGTTTCGTCCCCTCTTTGTCGAACGACGTTCACACAAACACAAATACACAACGACACGGCTCCATGGAGTCACTCCTGCTCAGATATCACCTCGTTCGTCACTCAAATGTTGTCTGATCAGCAGCTCTTAACCTGTGACCCTATAGCTGTTATCAAACGTACTGACAGGCCTCTCCTCACTAACTAAAAGCATCTCACCTCCTTTTGTTTTTACAGCTACATGCTTTGAGTGTGCAGTACTGTGTTTGCCTTTCAAATCGTTCATGAAGTTTTTTTTTCCGCAACCCACTCAAAATGGGCACCTGTCTTTCCACAACAAAAGTCTGAGTGATTCATTATTTCCTTTTGGAAACGCAGCAACCCATTTCGCTTCATTTCAAGAATAAGCGCTTGGTAATGCATTCTTCACTAATCTTTTCCTTGTTTTCAGCACATAAAAGTTATAAATCATTTTTTGGTTGCTGTCTCTGCACAAGCGTTAAAATGTACTTGAGATTTAGATTAAATAAAAATAAAATGTTGCTTGAGAGATGGTTTTGATGTCTGATTTCTAGTTTATGAGAGCAACACTTTGAGGAGAGCAGAAGGGTTCACGATGAGGGATTTTAACTCTGATCTTCATCCTTAACGTGAGGTTTGAACATTCTCAGCTAATAATGATCTGAAAAGCTCGTTAGCTTTGGCATAAAGATGAAAAATGCAGCTAATAAGAGATCAGATTAGATTAGCCACACTCATGAACTTGTGTTGATGGTGAGTAACAACTGGGCTCTGGTGACTTGTTTAACTCTCCGGGTGGGAAACTCGGGCGTTTCAGAGAGAAGCTGTTGTCTGTTTTCTCTGGTCTAAGAGGAGAGAAGCTGTTTTTTCTTGCTGAATTTTATATAAAGCAGCACAACCACCTGGTGTTCTTAAACTCACATTTGACCTTTCTTCATCCTGTAATAAATTGGGGAACATTTGTGACGGAGATAGATAAAAGGAGAATAACTGTCCCTCGTAAAGTTGTTTTTACTAACAGCTACCTTCTACTCAGCTGGCTGTTGCAAAATACACAAAATAAACACAACAAAAACAATGAAGTTACACAACATCCTGTCATTTTTAAAAAATGTGTTCAGCTTTTTGATTGATAAACAGGACAAATAAGGTTTATCTGTTAAAATTCTCATGAAGGTACCAAATGAAAAAGTCAGTGGAGCGTCTAATTATGGAGATTAATGTTTTGAGTGATAAAAATGTTTGCTCTGCATCCGTCCATCTTCCTCCAGGGTCGGGTCACGGGAGCAGCAGCCTAATAAAGCAGAGAGGCCCAGACTGGCCCAGCTCCTCTGGTGAAATCCTAAGGTGTTTCCAGTGAGAGACATAGTCCCTTCAGCATGTCCTGGGTCTTCCCTTACGTCTCCTCCCAGTTGGACGTGCCCAGAAAACTGCAGGGAGGCGTCCAGGGAGGCGTCCTAATCAGATGCCTGAGCCACCTCAACTAGCTCCTCTCGATGTGGAGGAGCAGCAGGTCTACTCTGAGCCCCTCCCGGATGACTGAGCTTCTCACCCTATCTCTCAGGGAGAGCCCAGACACCCTGCAGAGAAAACTCATTTTAGCCGCTTGTATCTGCGATCTCATTTTTCCTTCTCCTTTCGGCTCAGCTCTCTCTTCACCATGACAGATTGGTACAACACCAGCATCACTGCAGACTCACCAATCTCACTCGTGTTCCATCTTTCCCTCTCTCTTGAACAAGACCAGGAGATACTTAAACTCTGCCACTTGAGGCAGGACCTCATCTCTGACCCGGAGAAGGCATTCTACCCTTTTCTGACTGAAGACCATGGTCTCTGATTTAGAGGAGCTGATTCTCATTCCAGCTGCTTCACATTCGGCTGGGAACTGCTCCAGCGATAGTTGCAGATCACAGTCTGATGAAGCTAAAATCATGAAAATGTATTAAGTAGTTATCAAGATAATTCATTCTGGAGCATAGAGGGGGATTTATTGATTGACATCAACTTCCTGAAAGATTACTCCATACTCTCTCATAATGACTGTCACCAAAATGTAGACTTAGGGTATAACATAAATGATAAAAAGTTATAGAGGGAAAGAGAGAATGCTCTCTGCAGGAGGCGACAAAAAGCTAAACCCAACAGACGGTGAGTAAAAAGCCCCAGATGCATGTTAATAAAAGCATCCATTGTGTAATGTCCAGCAATGGTCTGTTTTTAGGTACAGTTTGACCATTCAACATCTGGTCAAAATGGAGACACAAGACTGCATGTGTTCCCTTTAATCTGTCTGCCTTCAGCCCATCAGCTGGAGCTCAGAGTCTCTCTGCAGCTCTGAACACATGATAACGAATTGTCAACAATGATGTTCTCTCCTCAAGGTCCAAGCTTCCCGTATCGTCCTACAGGATTCTTCATGCCTCCAAATAAGGAACACTCGCAGCTCGGATTAGTTGCTAAATCAAAAAATGATTTCTTAAATTAAATATGAACTTCTAAAACTTATAAGCTAGATAATCATTAAATAAACGTTTGTTTATTGCTACTTATAATAATTATAGTATAATGAAATGTTTTCATTAATCTGTGCTCAATGATTGAAGTTTGAAATTAATGTTATGTTATGATTACAATGATTAATATATGTTTCAGCATGTTGATAATGACAAGGTCATCACCATTCGCACTCACACAAGGACAAAGTAAAGTTAAGCTAAACGTGTGACACATAGATAGCCCTTTACCCCAGATCAGAGTATCCGGATCAAAGAAGGCGCGTTTCTGAGTTGTCTTGGTAATACTTCAACTTGTCAACCTCTGGTTGGCTACACAAATCATAACATGAGAACATTAAAAGCTTCAGACCAGCCATCTGAAGCAAAACCTCTTTAACCCGTCAAAGCTTTTGAGACGTCGTCAAAATCTTTTTGCACCTGCGAAGCTGATACAGCAAACATTTCCTGCAGAACAAGCTGATATTGTTTAGACTCCTTAAAAGTCTCAGACACACGGTTCCATCCATCTGTTGTGACCTGGAAACAACTCTAGGACCGGTCTAGTAGTGCCGCAGTTTCTTCTACGGACCTCGGTGCCTGGAAGTCCGAGGACTTCGACATTCCGGATCTATCACGAGGGTCTTCGAGTGGGTACGTAGACATGACAGATTGCGTCTGATGTGTTTTGATAATAATCAACTTCATAGCTTTACGCAAACCAAATTCTTTTACATCCAGAGCTCAGCTCTCCTAGATACGGAAGTTCTGATAACATCGCATTCACACATAGGTTTCATACATCACATCTATTTCCATCCATCACAGTAAATGCTAGTTAACCTGTCATGTTTTAACTGTTTGTAAAATAATTTCTTACTTTTATAAACCCGACTCTTTTCTGAATCAAAACGAAGTGTTTACAATCCCTGAATAAAACAAAAAATCCTAGAATCTTCTGATTAAACACAGTAAAGACCAAGCAGGATTGATATTCTATATTTATATAGAGTATCACAGCTTATTGGTCATAAGTAGAGGTAATATATATTGAGCTCTTAAAGCACTCAATTTACCAAACCCTACAATAGTGAAAATATATTAAATATTGCTTTTGGAAAGTTGTTTCTAAAACTCTCATCTTTCATTGAGCATCTGTGACAGCTGCAGAACATGCACATTAGGGTTTGTCAGCAACAAGACTGCAGTGTCTTCCCAAAAAAAAAACACGACCAAATTGAAAGACAAAGATTGTAAAACTTGTGTGGTCTTAGCGCTATGAGCATTAAAATGCAGCAAAACATAACCAAAGCTAGCAAACACAGATGTCAGTGCTTTGAATAAACTAGAACTGGAACACAATTAACTGTGTCAGCATGATTTTTACTGATAGAAACCATTTCACACAACATGTGCTGTGTACATAACATCCAATTATGTTCACATGGTGCAGAAACAGGTTTCCATTAAGAGTGGCATGGCCGGGCTGATAAATGATGACATCTGAGCTCCTCGTATCGGTCCACACATCTTCAATCTGCAGCAGAGGAATCTGATTAAGGCCTGAGGTAATGCTAACCGAGGTCAGCCTGCGTGACTCAACTCGGCTGTCACCTACACATTGGTAGACCCAAAATACAGGATCGCCCAGGCAAATAAACATTGTCCTCACACAGGACGAAAGTCATTTTTAAAGTCTCTTCTTGGCAGCGTCAGTTTAGCAAACCAAGCTGGTGTTTAGAAAGCAAATAAATAAGAGCAGACAGGGGTCGATCAAGGAACAAAACAGGAACAGTAAAAATATACAAAGGAGAGAGAGCTATTGAGAAAGTATTTCCTTAACAAGAAGGGAACAAATCATAATTTAAGGGGCCCCTTTTTCCCCTGTGGAGGGACTGGCATGCCTGAGGGTGGAAGCAAGTGGGCATCCCTCTCCTTTTGCAGGGGGTCGTGGACGAACCTCCGCTGTAGGAGCACCGTGAGAGATGAGAACAGAGTCCTGAGGGAAGAAAACACCTAAAGGCTCACAGAATCCATAAAGCCTGCAACGCTGAAGGAAAATAGTGGTAGTCACAGTGTTGCCCTCATGTCCCTCATCATGGGATTGCTTCAGTTTCTACCCTCCTCATATTTGCAGTCCCACTTGGCCTGTATAACCGAGAGCCTGATGACAGCCATGACCTCACGTTTACCCCAAACTCCCCTTGTCTCAGTCCCAAAGCAGGTGGCACACACCAACGCCAACATGAAGCCCTATGCTCCTCTTTCCGACATCTTCATGTTTTTAGCAAACCCTCCAGCGCTTATGATCACTGGAGATAAAGGAAATCAGTTTTAATGACCCCCCCCCCCCCCTCCAACTCCACACAGTGGTTTAGTCTCGCCAAAGTTGATAAAAGTTTCCCCCCTTTGTCCCAAAGTGTTCAATTAATCAACTTCACAGAGCATGCTGGATGGAAGAGGATAAAAGTCTAAAGGAAATAGCTGCCAGGATTTGTATTCTCCTGCAGCAGCTTTCATACCAATTAAAGGATGTTAGCATCGTTTTAAGCAGAGTGACTTTATTTTCGGCTTAAGGCTTACACAGATCCAACCATTTGCTGAATTGGATTCTTGGCAGATGGCCGGCATGGATCTTGGCCACCCTTGAATTTAGTGCTCATGGTAAGCTTCACATTGACGGAGAACGGGCTGCTCCCTGCTTTTACCTACATACATACATATAGAACATATCTCCTGGCAGCATGATAGTTTCTTATCTGTTACAAAAATAGAGAATGTATAACAACGTTCCTGAGTAGCACTGATTATTACTTTTTACTGATAACAGTGAAGTTTCTCATATATTAAAGCAGCCCTTCGACTCTCTGCCAGTCTACTACCTTATTTTTATTCACAATTTATAAAAAAATTACATCAGCAGCTAAGTTACAGATCATAACCAGCGGAACATTTCTTGCCCCTTTTTATTCCACAGAGCACCATAAAACAAATTAAGCCAGTGTTTGGTTTGCTCTATCTGGGCCACCGTAGAAACATCATGTCTGCAAGAAGGAGCACACACATGGGTTGGAGACGTTATTCCATGTTTAGTTTTCAAATACTTCAACTCTAATTAAATAAAGATTTCAACATTACATTATATTTCTGTTCTTAGTTTCCCCTGAAAGTTGCTCACTAGAACTTAAATCCAGTTTTTTACACCTTAAGGTCATTTTAGTGTATCAAGATTAAAAGACGCATGCTAGCCAGGCCCGTGCTTTCTAGAAGAGCCGTGTCAGTAAATCTGATGACAGCCCTTCAATTTCTCAAATTGTTTTAGTTTACTTTTTGTCTCCAAAGTGAAACATCAAACAACTAGCGCCAATTAGCAGCTTGACAAAAGAAACTGTACAATGGTCTTTTCATTTGGCTTTAAGGTGTGGAACACTTGTTTGAGCAATGCATTTGCAGTGGTTTCTTGTAGGAATGAATGCCTTTTCAGTCATACTCTGGGGGAAAGAAAGCTCAGATGTACCTGAATCATAAAGTCAATTGGGGGAGAAAGTAGGTTCAGAAGGAAGGTTTTGGAGTGTTATTTCCTGATATCTGGACATCTCTTCTCTGATTGGATAACAGCAATGCAACTCTACCTCTGCCTCTGTTTGCTCTGCAACGCTGATGTTTTATCTACACAACTAACACAAGCCTGGAGGAGTTTTGCTGTGTCGTGGAGTTGCTAATGCTAATGCCTACTAGCCGAGAAAATGTATTTTTTTCAGTGAGCCACACCTTTAACACAATAAGTTTGTCAAAAGTTAAACAATCCTATTCTGATTAGAAGATTTCTGAGTGGTTTGTGGAGCTGCACAATGATAATAATCCATGCATGAGACAGTTAGAATAGCAAAATTTCTTTATTAATATATTTTTATGTGTATGTTTAAATAATCAAGAATGTTCAGAATAATGTTAAATAAAAGCCCTTAATATGTGTTGTTTATAGTAAGTCTCATGGTTTCCTAATTAAATCATTACTTTATTCCCACGGCACACATAGTTTATTTATTTGACCAGAAAAGGTACTTTGATTTACATTTTTTGTTACCTCTGTTTGCTTTAAATTTACTCAACAATTTCATGAAGAAAATGCTAGTAATAACAGTCCTTCCTGTTCTATTGATTCATGTTCCTGTTGCTTTGCCTCTGAGGATCGTGGAGCCGGAGCACCAGTAGTCCAAACCATCATAATTTGGGCTGGGGGTAAGAAATCACATGTGCCACAGTTTATGTCGACAGTCGTGGCCTGGAGCAACGGCCGGTTTAGAATTTGGAAGAAACTACGA